CCCGGTACCAACCCTCTGTGATGGGTATGATCATTGCATAGTGCAAACATATACTAATAAAAATTAAATTAAAAAATAAATAAATAACAAAAGAAAATTATAAACCAAGCAGGCTAAATAATCAGAGATTAGAATGCCATGAGTTTCATTCCAATGGATTAAAATACAAATGTATTTAACACAGCAAGGGATAAAGTAAATAAAATAATTATTGATTCACCTTTAAAAGAACATTGCTATATTTAAAAACTCAGTTTATTCATTTCTTAAATGTGGGTATAGAGCTTAATGACCTGTAAACTTCCTCCCAGCTTTACAATTTTATAGTTTTTTTATGTCATTTAGTCCAACAAATCTCTGGATCAGGATTCAATTTGGCAGCAACTATTAGCAACTGAAAAATAGAATAGTGGCTTTGAAAAGAGAGAAGTTTATCTCACTTGTGTAAAAATTGAAAGGAAACCACCCAAAGATTCTCTTCCACAAAATCTGGGATCCAAGCTCTTTCCATTACACGGCGTAGGTTCTAGCATGATCCAAGATAGCCGCTATACCTCCCACTATCATTTTCATGTGATAAGGGTTACGGTAGAGAAATCAAAGAGGATAAAAAAGGGCAAAGGCTGAGATGCGATTATCTGTTAAGAAAGCTGCTAACATGGCATCTGCCCTCCTTGTTGCATTGGATGGCCTTCCAATGAGGTCACTTGGCCACATCTAGTTGAAAGGTAGGCTGGGATGTAGATGCTCCCCAGATGGTCTTGTTCCCTACTAAATACCTCAATACTAGTGAAGAGGGGAATCGATAATGGTGACATCCTCCGGTTTCTACCACATTCACCTATTTGCAAACAATAAATCATTTAAAATTACCAACATATTTGCCAAAAACTAAATGTTAAGTAAATATTAGATTATAAGACAAAAGAAAAGTGAGGCATGAACATTAAATTTCAGATTTGTAAACAAATCTCCAAAAAAAACCCCCAAATGATACACACATCACCCATACACGCGCGCACACACACACACACACACACACACATGCACAAACTGGTAATCACAAACCACTCTGCTCTCTCCAAGTAAGACAAATTTGACTTGTTTGGGGCAAACTGTTTCACTAAGCCTCATATTCTTTGTACCTAAAATGAAGATATTAATGCCTATTTTCCAAGATTTTCACTAGGATAAGGATGAAATGGTGACTTCCTATCCAGGTAGCTATATTGTTGTATTTGATTTTTAGAAAAAACATTACACAGCTTTTTTTAATACAGAAGTTTATAAACCTGCAGAAATGATGTAAGCTGGAGCCTTGTTGGGGGTTAGCAAGGGTAATCTAAAATTTAATTAAGTTTAATAAAAGAAAAGCTAACTGATTGATTATTGTTGAGATTTGAGAAATGATTAAGATTCAGTTCAAATGATATTCTAAGAGTTTTCACTCTTTTCTTGTTTCTGATCCACTCCCTTCCCTCTTAGGATAATTTTCATCCAGATTCTTTTCTTCAAGTGCCACCATCCTGCCCTTTTATTAATTCTCACAGAAAGACCTCTTTTTTCTAATTCATACTGAAAACATCAGTGGTATTAGCCGCATTGGTCCTATTGGGGAAATATGTTAATACTGGAACCAACCACTGATGCCTCAGCAAATAAAATAAACATATTTGTATTTCCTGATTTATCGACCATCTTATGGTTTTAAGATTGGCTTCTCATTTCAGATGATACAACCAGGAAAGATAATACAGTAGGTTGAAGACAGAAATTATTTTCTAAATTGTTATATAAATCAAAGACTTTTAAGAGTCTGGAGAAACTATGGTGATAATTAATTTATGACCCTCATTTTATTTGAGTAGGACTAAAAGGTTAAGTGATGGGCCCATAATATGAAGGTGTTTTGTGAAACCACCAGGGTAAAAACTCATTTCTCTTGACCTCAGTTCAGTGATTTGTCTCACATTACATCTGACTCTTTAATGGCTAACTAACCATTATCTAATTTGTGATAAAGATGTCTAGTAGATTTTTCTTTAAGCCACTGATAACTTTCTCCCAAGTAATTTTCATTGTTTCACTTTGGCCTATCACTTAGGCAGCAAAAGTCATGAAGCAGGAATTTTGCCCCATGAAAATCTGTGGTTCCTTATTGGCACTCTTGGGAACAATATAGTTAGGATTCATATTTTTATTTCATAGAGCTGTGCCTCAAAAATTCCTCTGTAAATATTTGGTATTATTTGCTTATATGAGCATGAATTTAATATTTTCCCTCTCAAGAAATAGAAGCTTATTGAAGAAACATCAGAAAATACAGGGAATCCTCACAGCCCTCAAATCCCCACTACTCAGGAACAATCACCATTAATATATTGGGATATAATGGTATTATATACAAGGTCACATTACACATACTGTCCTATAACTTACTTTTCCTACTTACCAGTATGTTGCAAACATGTTGTGACCCGATAACTATAAACCTACATCATCCATTTGAGTGCTTCCTTATCTGAGTAAGCCTTTATTTATTTAAACTATTCTCATACAGTATTTGCATTACATTCATTTCTTTCACTATTATGATTAATAAAATAGTGAGTGTCTTACACTTTTGAGTCAACAAGCATACTAAAGGATGCTAAACAATACTAATCATCAGAAAAATGCAAATCAAAGCCACAAGGATGCTTCACCTCACACCCATTGAGACGGCTACCAAAAAACCACAAAAACTCCAAAAATGCACCAATTGTGGATAAAGATGTAGAAAAGTGATATGCTTGTGTGCTGTTGGTGAGATTATAACATAGTCCAATTTCTATGGAAAACAGTGTGGAAGTTCCTCATAGATGAAAAATCAATCTACCATATGATCTAGCAAGCTCACTTCTGCATACGTATCCAAAAAAATGGAAGGCAGTGTCTCTGAGAGATATTTGTACAGCTGTGTTCATAGCTGCACTATTTGCAGCATCCAAGAAGTGGGAGCAAACTAGGCATGTATTGACAGGTAAATAAATAAACAAAATGTGCATATACACAGTGAATATTATTTAGGCTTAAAAGGAAGGAAATCCTGCCACAAGCTACAACATAGATGAATCTTGAAGAATTACGCTAAGTAAAATAAACAAGTCACAAAAAGACAAATACTGTATGATTACACTTATATGAGATATGTAAATAGACAAATTCATAGAAACAGAAAGTAGAATGGAGGTTACAAGGGGGCGGGGAAAGGGAAGGTAGATACATTGCTCAGTGGGCATGCAGTAGTTTCGGTATTTCAAGATGCAAATGTTCTGGAGATCTGTTTCACAGCAGCGTGAACATACCTAGAAGTACTGAACTGTGCACTTCAAATAATGTTTAAAATGGTAAATTTTATAAGTTCTTTACTATAAGAAAGAATAAAGGAGAATAGGATGTGTGCACCGTAAAATAATACTTAAGCAAATACCTATGTTTCTATGGCTTACCTTGAGAAATAAAATACTAAACATTACAGAACTTTGGAAGCTATTCTGTAACCTCACCAATCACTTCCTTCTATCTACTTTTTCAGAAGTACTTGCTCTTCCACATTTTGCACCATTCATTCATTCCTTGACTTATTTTATCAATTTGCCACAAAAGTATGGGCTTCAGAACATTATTTTGCCATGTTTAGAAAATATAAAGAGAATCATGAGGAATGTGTTCTTTTACAACTTACTTTTTGAGGTTAAAATTATAATTGGAATTGACGTATGTTTTCAATTCACTTAGGTATGCTCCTAGGAGTAGAATTGCTGGGTTATATAGTAATTCTTGGTTTAATCACGAGGAGAACTGCCAATCTGATTCCCCCAATGACTTCCTCACTTTACAAATGCACCATCAATGTATAAGGATTCAAGTTTCCCAGTTGTTATTGTCTGACTTTTATTGTTTTGATTGTAACCATCACCCTGGGGGCTGTGAAACAGTATTAAGGTTCTGACTTGCAGTTCCCTAATGACTAGTTTTATTGAGGATTTTTTGGATGTGTTTGCTGATCTTTTGTTTCTTGTTTTTGAAATTGAGTATAATTGATAGATAAAATCATATATATTTAAGATAACAACATCATGTTCTGAAATACATATATGTTGGGAAAATATTACAATTATACCTCATACAGATATAGTAATTTTTAATTTTCTGTTTAAAAATATTTTATACTATAATAGTTTGAGTCAGAAATACTCTTAAAAAGCAATCAGCTCAGGATCTCACTCCTAGAGACAGCTTAAAATAGTTAAGTGAACACCATTCTTGATGATTTTTTGATATCTGTATGCTTTACTGCATTTTTGAGAATAATAGTGGCGATGATATACATACTGTTTGTAACCTGCCTTTTCACTTAACAGAGTGTGGCAAACGCCTCACTTCAATCTATTCCTGTCAATATCGTGATCTCTTAATGATATAATTAGTAATTCTTTTTATGGACCCCCTTTACTCCCCCTCACACCTCTTCCTTCTTCCAGATTCCTTTCCTCTTGCCTAATAACAGCCCTCCTTCTGCTTCACATCATCTTGTTCAGATTCCACATATTAGGGAAAACATGATATTTGTCTTTCTGAATCTGGCTACTCTTGTCTAACATGAGGCTCTCTAGTTCCATTCATTTTCCTGCAAATAACACCTTTCTGTTCTGCTTTACAGAGATTTCTCCACTGGATTAATACTCCCACTTTCTTTATCCATTTACCTTTGTTTGTTTGTTTGTTTGTTTGGTGCTGGGGATCAAACTCTGGACCTTGCACTTTGGAGGCAGGCGGTGGAACCACTGAGCTAAATCCCTGGCCCTATCCGTTTATCTTTGATAGGGACCTGGGCTGATTCTCTCTCTTGGGTATTGTGTCACAATAAAGGTGGGTGTGAGGTAACCCTATGACTTGCCAACTACTTCCTGCAGGTATATGTGAAGGACTTCTTAGTTGGGTCATATGGTAGGTCCATTTTTAGCTTTCTGAGGGATCTCCATACCACTTTCCATAATGACTACCAATCTACATTCCCACAGCAGTGTAGAGGAGTTCCTTCTGCTCCATATCCTTGCCAGCGTTTATTGTGTTTGTATTCTTTTTTTTTTTTTTGCTTTAATTCTTTTATTGGTACATTTTAGGTATACATTTACATTTATCATTGGGTCCTTGTACCTGTACATGATGCATCTTAGTTCTTATTTTTTCCCCATTACCTGTGCTCTCTTCACCCCCTCCACCCTTCCCTATTTACATAGACTTTGTTTCCATTTTTTTCTCATAATTTTTCCTTTCCCTTCTTTCCTTTCCCCTTCCCCTCCCTGTTTTTGGATTCTTGATGATAGCCATTCTGACTGGAATGAGATGAAATCTCAGTGTGATTTTGATTCACATTTCCCTAATGGCTAAAGATGCTAAACATTTTTCATGAACGTTTTTGTCCATTTTTACTTCTTTTGAGACATATTTGTTGAATTTATATGCCGATTTATTGATTGGATTTTTATAGCAGCATTATTCATAATAACTAAAAAAATGGAACTAACCCAAATGTTCACCAACTGGTGGATAAGTGCAGTGCAGTGGAATATTATGTCATAAAAGAGATGATGTGTTGATACATGAAACACATGGATAAAGCTTGAAAACATTGCACTTAGACAAAGAATTTAGACACAAAAGGCCACATATTGTATAAATTCCATCTATATGAAATGTCCACAATGGGCAAATCTATAGAATTTGAAAATATATTATGGTTTCCAGGAGTTACGGAGAGAAGGAGGACTGAGAAATGACCTGATGGTTATGTTATTTCTTTTCAGGGTAATGAAAATATTCTAAAGTTTGATAAAGGTGATGGTTATAGGCACAAATAATTAAATGGGTTAGCTCTGAATATACTAAAAAGCTTGGGATTATATACTGTAAAAATTATAATTTGAATTCCATGCTTGCTGCTTTGTAGTTCATTCTCATTGCTGTAGCATTCTACTACACAAATATATGATATATACATATAAATACATATGCACACATACATACGTGTGTGAATATATATGTCTTTAAAGATGGAATTTTGGGATCATTCTATTTTTTATTATTACAGATTCTGATGTTATAAAAGTTATTGACTATGTCTCACAGGTACATGTGCAAGAATTTTTCTGGAATGTATACCTGTATATTGAGGATTGGAATTAATGAACCATTGACAATAAGCAAGTTTAACCTTATCATGTACAGAGAGATTGTTTCCTAAGTGGATCTAGCAATTTACCTGCCCATTGATTATAAGTAAGAGTGCGTGTTATTCCATGTCCTTCGACTCCCTCGTCAATACTGCCAGTTTGGTGAGATAGAATGGTATCTCAATTAATACTTCTGCTGAATAAAAATGTTAAAATGTGTTACTATGTTTGTATGGCGTTCATATTTTCACTCCTTTTCATTCATTGCTGCCCTTTCCTAGTGAAGTTTATTTTTTTCTTTTTCTTATTTCTTTGCAGGAGCTCATTGCATATTCTCTACGTGGATTTTTTTCTTGCTTATTTGTGGGTCAGATAAGTTCTCTCAGCTTGTGGCTTATGTTTCATTTTTATGTACACATAGAACTGATATTTACAAAGATGTAGTGGAACTTGGGTATCCAAATGGCTTCTGCTACATTCCTGCATTCATCTAGTTTACCGTCTTATCTCACAGGTCTTGATTTAAGTCCTTTTGTTCTGTAAAGAATGGATCACAATCCTGAGCCTTAGCCCACTTGTTTGCAGCATTCGACCTTAGTGTCTTCACCTTACTTCCTTCAGCTCCTGACCAGGAACTTTTGTGAGTGCGTTGATGGCCCAGAGCTTTAAATATCACCAGCCCCAAGAGCACCACTCTCTGAACCAGAGATGAAGGTGTCTATGTTCCAAACGCAGATGAATGGCCCCTGTGGAATTTTGAAGGTGACTGAAAAACCTGTAGCTTGGACTCACGGCCGTCTGGATTTCTTTGACTTGTTTGAAAGCCAAGTAAGTGACTCCACATCTGGTCCTACTATCTAAGCTTCTTCCAACCTGTTTCTAAAATATGATTGGATCTTCACATACAAAGTGTCTAAAAAGTTCAACTGGTTTCCTAACTGTTAACTTTATAATGAGCCCACAGACAGATGCACAGACACTGAAGAGAATGTTTACATTTAAAAAGTTTATTCCAGTAAAAGACACATTGCCATTAATCCCCCTCAAAATACTACCCCTACTTCAAACACGCTTATCCCATCATTCTTGGTCCTTTCTGAAGCAGATCTGAAAGTGTTCTTGCATGAGAGCCTACTAGCTGTTGTGACCACCTACTTGCTTTGGATTGATTTAAAATGTTTACCTTTGATGGTCATGTTTTACTTTGGGGAGAATCAGAAGTCTCAAGGTGCAAATCCAGTGAATAATGTGGATGAGGACACACCTTAATGTTTTTATTTGACAAAGATTGTCCTACCAGAAGAGATGTGTGACAGAAAGCATTGTCACAATGGAGGATGAAGCCGTTGGCCCATTTCTCAGACCATTTTCTATGGACACTGTATCTCTTTTTTTAAAGAAAGCCATTCTTCTTTACAGTGAAACTTTGAGAGTGTATAAAATAATTGGTTTCAATATTAAGATATATAATGTGGCCGTCTTGCTTGTGTTAGTTTTGGATTTGTTTTTATTAGTACATGTTTGCTGTACATAATGAATACATTCATCATGGAGAACACATATATGATAAAGATGTGATATCTAATATCACATTGTTTTACTTCTCTTCTCCCTCCTCCTTCCTCTGTATCTAAATCCTCTTCCCATTTGCTAAAGATCTATCTCCCTGTTTTCTATGATCTGTCTTTTATTTTACTCTTTAAATTATTTACACTTTGGGTTACTTAAACACTCCAATAAGCCCTTATAATATTCAAAGTTTACTATGGTGTTCCTGAGTACAAACTCAGCTTACACAATTCTATCAAGGTCAAAAAAATATCTTGATGTTGTATATTGACTGACTCACTTTTTGTAGGAAAACTCGGTGATTTCCACTGAGGGCCCTGAACCTTGGTCTTGGGGTCATAACCATAGATCCAAGTTTCATCTTCTGTGGTCCTATTTCCTAAAAGCTGGAGTCTGGTGTAGCATGACCATGGAACTCCAAGGAAGTTGACAAAACTTCCTGTCAATCTATTGTGCCTGAAATGTGATTTATGGGATACTTTAGGACACATCCTCTCTCAGCCAGAGCTCACAATCTTCACCAAACAGCTTGACACTGGTCACACACTGTCACCAAGGCTCAGTGTGCTGCTTCTGGTATTGAGGATCCCTGCCTTTCTGTTGGATGGTAGGCAGTAGCAGCATTCACTGTAATGTTTGATCACCCACAAATGCACACTCTGATGCACATGTGTGTGTGTGATGAATCTACGTTCCAGAATCCATTGTGATGTAGTGTGGATTACAGAAAATGAAGCCATTAGGGAATTACGAAAGATGGTCCTGCTGCTTAGGTACCATTTTGCCTCAGGATGGAGGACTGCTTTACAAACAACACTTTAGGGCCTAGATGTTACTTAGAATTACAGAAAATTTGGATAAAATATCTCAAACCACAAAGGGATCTCAAAACCACAGGCACGAATAAAATCCTGATCTTTGGACCTAAGACAGGACTTGGTGGCTTTCGTTATGCCATTGGTTAGAGAAGTCAGATATTTGAAGTTACCAAACTAGAAGCAACCACAGAGCTCTAGCTCACCCCCTAGATTGTAATCATCACAAAAGTGCTCAAAAAAGAAAACCTTTCAGCATTCTACGGAGAGTGGAATTGAAACACAAGTCTGCTTAACCGTGGAGCCTTAACTACCGTGGTTTACTATAAGCTGCCTGTATATGCAGTTGATGGTAAATGTTACTGTTTCCTCAGTTGTGCACAGAATAAATATACCTACCATCCTTCTTTAAGGCTTCCCACTAATCACAATTAGTAGAAAAATGTAACTATGCAAACCTGGCATGGGGCTCCTTCCATCCGAACCTCTCAGTGGTTCTTGTGACCATCTCCTGTTCTCCTTTTAGGTTTGCTCTGAAAGTCCCTCCCTCGGGGAGGCCTCTGCTAAACCCTGAGCCCAGGGAGATTCATGTGCTTATACTCTCTTTCTATCATATATTTGCTTGCTCATAACCCTCATCATCCTTGTAATCGGGAGAATATTGCTTTTCTTTTCTTTTCAAATGGATTCTGTACTGCATACTACTGTATCCCTGGAGCCTGGATCAGTGGGAGGTGCTAAAGGAACATGTGTTGTGTGAAAGAATAAGTGAATGCGTGAGTGCAAAGCCAGTTAATGCCAGGACTAAATGTAGAACCCATCTCCTGATTTCTACATACAGGACTGACTTCAGGATTCTGGGTCATTTTCCAGGATGCCGGTATCAATCTTTCCAATGTTGATATTTGTCCATTCACAATGCTCTTCTAGGTAGCTTAGCCAGGTATTTATTTGTTGCCTACATTGGACTATATCTTATGCCTAGGTTGAGCAACAAAGAACACAAATGGCACTCCTGAAGTTCTTATTTATTTATTTATTTATTTGTAGAACATTGAAGATAGAATCAAGAGCTAGGCTGCCTGGGTCAAATCTCAACTCTCTCATTTCTTATCAATGAAAGGTGCCATGCATGAGGAGTGTGATAATTGGATTGGCCCAAGTGCCAACTAACGCAGAATGCTTACTAGGAGCTCTTCACAGGATGTCCCATTCATTCCCTAAACAGCTGCATTTTACAGATGAAGTAGTCTAGACCTGATGTGAAATGGGTTTCTTGGATCTTCCCGACTGGGATGTGGTTGAACTTATACCTTTCCATCCTCAAAGCCCAGGTCTGTCTGTAAGCATGGTAGATTCCTGCCTCTGGCTGCTGCTCTTAAGTATTTGAGAATATGAGAATGCAGTGGACTTGAGCACAATCTATCATGATCTTGTTTGTTGAAAGACGACCTAATTTGCCACAATCTAACTGAATTCAAACCTCATGTTGAGGCAACATAATAAAAGCTCTCTCCTAATGGTGCTGCTGCTTAAGGCAAATGAATTGCTCAGATATGAAATTAGAAGTGCGCTCTCAAAGTGCACGAAGGCTGGAGGATACCCTGTGCTCTAACACTGATTTCAATTATGTCTCAACCTTCAGCAGGATGATGTGACATTACACTCCTCTTTCACCAACTCTTATTTTTATTCCTCTTGTTAAATATGAGCTTTGTTGTGCTCCATCGATCTCTGCAAATATTCTGCTGTTTACAACTTTGATAATCTTTGTGTAATCTGCAGGAGTAATTGGATTCCTACAAACGTGGCTGAATTTTCGACATCACTGAGATGAGAAAAAAATGGAGAATTTGAAGCAACGCAAGATTCGCAAATTCAGAAACTTCCTTTGTTCTCCAGCTAAGATTGACCTTTTCCTCTCAGGGTTGAAAGGTTATGTCCTAATAAGTTTGGATTGTGCAACCGAAAAGATATATTTCCATTAAATGAAGCAAAGCTGTAAAAGCCACAGCCCTGGGCCCCTCAATTCCATCACTGCTGTGCTGGTTATTGTCTCTTCCAAGAAATGAGCATGAAGGGGGTCTCGTTTGTTAAAAAGCAATTACTGTCTTCTGGAAACACACACAACCTTCGTGTGCATGTTTGTGTCACTTTTACACAACAGAGTTCACTCTTTCCACCAACAGAGGAACATGGAAAGGAAGGTAGTTGGTGCTGACTTCTTGACACTACCATTTGCTAGCCAGGTGACCTTGGGAAAAGTAACTTCTCAGCCATAGTTCCCTGGAGGTAAATGAGAGATAATAAAATTTAAACTGCAGAAATGTTGGGATGGTGGTGCAGTTAATTTAAAAAATGTTGAGAACATTGTCATGGAGTAAACATGGCATGCTTGTTAACAAAAGTAAATGAAGGGGGAAAAGTGGCACCTGGATGCTATTTTGCTGATGTTCAGGTAATGGTGGGGCTTGGTACTGTATTTTTGTATTATGCTCAGATAAGTGTATCCCCACATCAAGGAGGGTGGTCTCTTGGCCTGAGGAACAGAGAACAAACATAGCAGAAGAAATCATAAGGGACAACATCTGTAACAGGTGGGAGCCTCCACCTGCAAGGACTAGGAATATCCAACATCTCTCACCCACCGTGAATGTACAATTTTTATCATTATAAAGAAAAAAGAGTATTAACTTATAATGCGTTTTTATCATAGCAATTTTTTACATAAAATTATTTTAAAGTTTCAATAAAGGGGTATTATTGAAAAGAATTAAGTTAAATCCATCTAATAGAATTAGTTAAACTAATAATGTAATTCTTCAGGCATTACAATAGAAAAATGTTAACGATATATTATTGAGTCTATTTTTCAAAAAATATATAGATAGAAAATGTACAGATTGCTATATAACAAGTTATGGTTTTATTCAGTTGTCAAAGGATTGGCGACTTTTTTTCTTTGATAACTTTTCCTCTTTAATTGCTGTTTTTTATCGTTTCTTTGTTACCCCTAAATCTTCATGTAGAAGCCCAGTCCCGTTCTTGTCCATTGCTACTCTGTCCTCTCCACCCTGTCCCATGTACCTGACCGGAGGACATTTCTTATGATGAGTAAGGACTTGGGCATCTTAGGCAAAGACTTCAGCCACACTTCAATTCCTACCATCATTCTGGACTTCAACATGTGAAGGAGGGCCCAGCCATCATCCCAGGCTCACAAGGCCTTGATTGTCTCAGAGTCCATGGAGGAAGTCTGTGTCCTACTACTGTAGAGCCACGCCCACCCGGAGCCCCTTCCTGAGAGGTCAACATGGAAACTAATGAGGGGCTGGCGTCACTGATTCAGTGCCCCCTGCTGGCCACCACCTTTTATTAGTCCGGCAGTCTGTGGGGTATTTCTATTTGGAAGCCTCACAAGTACTTCCAACTTAAAATGGTTGAAATGAGGAGGAGCCCAGAGCACATGCACAGATTTCAATTTTATTCATATTTGTTGATGTCGGAGGTTGGGACTCCCTTACCTGTAAGGGTCATGGTGATGAAAGAGGCTATAAGGACTCCCAGCAAAGCACTGGATACAGGTGTCAAAAGTTCCTTTTTTTTTTTCCAGTACCAGGGAGCGAACTCAGGACCTTGTGCTTGCGAGGCAGGCGCTGCACCACTGAGCCACATCCCCAGCCCTAGGTGTCAATAGTTCTTTATGGATCAAGGCATTTTATTAATGTGTAACATGACTACATTCATAAACAGGCCTCTAAGCTTGGGTTTGTTGTACACCACTACACCCACATGCTTTGGGGTGATGCATCCCTACCTATTGTTATAAGTCGTGTTGTCCACCAGCTTCAGAATGTAAGCTGTCAGATACTTAAGAATGGCAGAGAGGAAACCAAGTGTAGACAAAGACAGGTTTTTGTAGAACATGGTCCACACAGCTTACTGAGAACTATATTTAGCACTGTGAAGAGTGGGCTGGCTGGTTTCCTATGCCCATAATCACTTTGATGGGTTTTTTTTTCAGAGGTGGTATTGGATGGATTTTGGTCTGATTGATCCAAATTGATTCTTAAGATGACCTGGACTCTAAGGGCACAAGTTCTCAGCCCTGCCACGTGTATCTCCATTCTCCAGCCCCCTCACTGCTCAGAAGCAGAGCTTGTGAAATTTAACTTGTTACACCTGTGCTGGTCATTGCAGCCTACTTGGGCATGATCAGATCCTGGATTTAGAAATGTCCATGCCAGGAATCTGGCCCTCCTAGTAACTGGATGACTTTTACTTTTTAGTTTTTTATTAGTATATATTTGCAGCACATGCTTACATTTTTCTGTGAGTTGGTACATGATACAAGACATTTTAGGGGTTTTTTTATTCTCATTTCCACCCCTCAAAACTCTTTCTATTTAACTGCAACATTATAGAAATAAATAAATGTTTTAATGGAAAATTTTTATTCACCTACAACATATTCTTCTAGCTTATCTGTTTCCAGAATTGTACTATTATTGAGCACTTTTCTTGGGAGAGGATGCTGGGGATTGAACCCAGGGTCTCTCACATGCCAGACATATGCTGTTCAACTGACCTACACCTCAGCTCCTGTCTTTGAGCAATTTTCAACCCTGCTCTCAGCTTTAGGTCTCTGGCAGATATGTAGAATGTCATCTTCAGTAGAGACTCAATTATCTCTTTATGATGTGGTAATAAAACCAATTTCACCTCTCTTTATGTAGTCATTTCAGTATTCTTAATTAATATTCCTGTGTCAATTTAAAAAATTTTTCTTTTAAACCAGTTGTATCAACCCATTCCCTCATGAGTTGAATGGAATTTTTTTTCCATTTAGTTTATTGGTACATGTTAGGTATAGAGTACAGTTACATTCATCATTGGGAATTTGTACCTGTACATGATTCATCTTGGTTCTTATTTTTTTCCCCATTCCCCTGACCTCCCCTCCCTATTTACAGAAACTTCGTTTCCATGTTTTTCCTTTTCTCATATTTTTTCTTTTCCCTTCTTTCCTTTCCCCTACCCCTCCCACTTCCCCTACTCCGTT